GCTGATCGCAGTGCCCTCTGGGGAACATGTGGGGAAAGGCAGTCCCTCAGGTATGTAGGCCCCTGACCATAAAGGGTTTTAAAGGTAAGAACCAGCACCTTGAAAAGGATCTGGTATACTGTCAGCAGCCAGTGCAATGCTTTGGCACAGGCTGGATGTGCTCCTGCACAGGGAGACCCATCAAGAGCTTGGCTGCAGCATTTTGCACCAGCTGCAGCTTCTGGATTTGAGACAATGGCAGCCCCATGTAGAGAACGTTACAGTAGTCCAGTCTCGACGTGACCATCGCGTGGATTGCTGTTGCCAAGTCGTTGCATTCGAGGAAGGGAACCAACTGCCTGGTCAGCCGAAGGTGGTAAAAAGCTGATTTGGCAGTGGCCGCTACCTGGGTCTCCAGTGTTAAGGAGGCATCCAGGAGCACTCCCAAACTCCTAACCTCCGGCGCTGTCAAAATACATATAAGTATTTTATATTTTTTCTTTTTAAAAATAACCTGGCTAAAATTAAATCTGAATACAAGTGCATTAAACCTATGCTCATACTCTCTTAAAACTGAAACAATGTCCCTGCTTTAAAAACATTGGATTAAGGGAGAAGTATCTTTTTTAGGTCAAGTATTTTAAATATAGCACAATAGGTCATACACTATTGTTATTATGGTCTTGATAATGGGGGGAAGGAATGGCAAGAATATCACAAGCAACCCCTGGCTTGGGAAGATGCTATCCTATCTCTCTTTATTATGCCCTTCTAAGTACCTGAGCACAGCAATTTGCTCAACTCTCAAATTATGCATATTTACCCTAAGCAAGCAATGAAAATTCCTGTCTTCTTATGAAAATAAACAGCTCTGCCTTTGCTCCAGAAAGTTCTGGGACCTTAGTTGCCTCTAAACAAAGAGGCATACCCAGCTACACAGACTACAACAATCAAAATTTTTGGCTGTTAGCTAATTATGTTTCTGAGGTGGGGGCAGGATTGGTGCTACGGAACAGTGAAACAGAAAACAGCAACCCTGGGAAAAAGAAGTTGTTGTACATAAAGTATATGCTCTTTTTCAGTGATAAATTAATATGTTTTTAGAGGAAGATTAATCAGTTAGCAAACAAATATATAAAACACTATTAGGAAACCTTATTTAAATTAGTTTCTTTTTTCTTGTTCAATTAAGTAATGCCCATTTTATTTAATTCAGCCCATCCCCGACTATTATTTAGAACAGACATATAAAAAAACCAGATGCAGTTATGCATAATATTTATATAGCCCATTTAAAGAATTTCACATAAATTGTCTCAATAATCCTTACAATAACTACCACTGAGTACTCAACGTGGGGAAAAGCTTAACACTTGCACTTTATCATAAAAAGGTCATGACGCTTTCAAAACCCACTGTCTCCAACATAAAACAAGCATGTCAATGTGCAGACATTATGCATAATCCTAAATAACTGGGATACTACTGAATGATCCAATGAGCTTGTAAATGTCTGGAAATCTAAAATGGACCAAGATTTGTGGGCCATCTCTGAAATTCAAACATTCACTGCGATATATATTAATTAAATAAAACAAAGGACACATTCTAAAGGTTTTCTAAAATTATTTTGTTAACATATTTTGGAATATTTAAAGCACATTCTTATCTAGGAGAACTTTTGTAATCAAAAACTCACTATGAAGTCTACAGCACTGCAGCAAACAGCTTATACATTTATAGTCAGAATTGTGTAATTGTAGAACAGATGCATACTCTAGTTACTTGAAAATTTTACAATTGTACAAATGAACTAATGACTCTGGTCCATATGAAAATGCTACTGCACATGCAGGAACATTAACATAGGCCTTCGTTTTGTCACCACCACACAAGTAAAATTTGGAATGAAAACAAGAAACTCCACATGCACAACAGCTGTAAAAACGTTTCATGTTTTCTAGGCTAATTTGGCATTATTTTCTTTTTGTTTGCATAGACTAATAGAATTCATCACCAAGAGAAAAATTCCTATAAAACCTTTTCTTTCATCTTTTAAACTGTGAGACATTAGACCATCTTTCAAAGTTCAGCATTCAGCTTAATATTTTGCAGGAAAATACTCTGTCTAATCAGTGTGAATAAGAGAACAGAAACAACATGGCTATCTAAGCCTCTCTGCTAATAGTTTGCTTTTACCCCAATTGTTTCTAAGTTAAAAAAAATCATATTTGAAGCCGCTATTTCTAGCAATAATTACTGGCTGAGGTCTGGACAGAGGGTTCCATGACCAATGTTTTCAATGCAGGTCACCTTGGTCCAAATCCAACTCTTATCAGCTATGCCATACTACGCTTAACCTTATGAGGTATGTTAAAGAGGGCTGTTTTAGAGAACGTGTAATTAATTTTGAAGGGTTGGTGTCATTAGTCATGGCTCAACTGGCTATTTTATCACCACTATACAAGTGAGGATGTATGTCGAAAACACACCACTCACACAGAGTCCAGCCAAAATTGAGCTCTTACACATCACCAATTTCAACATAAAAACTAAGCATGACACAACAGAACCTACCATTGGAAGGCTCACGCCACTGTGAAAACTAGCCCTTTAAGCTATTGGCACATGATTTTTTTTTAGTGTAAAGTCCAAATACAAAAAAAAAGGAAATAATGTGTGTGTAGCACAGATATGCTCATCAGGGTGCTGAGATTAACTGCAGCTTCTTGTTGAGTACATACTCTGACACAGATTTGCTTCATATAATGTGGTCTGCAGTCACACTGAAAACCTGTAGAACATGCTCCTGCCAAGCATGTTCAGAATGGTGAGAGTAACAACACTATCAGAAAAAGGCAGAATAAGGGCTACTTTTTAAACAATATTTAATGACAGCTATTTAAGTTTGCATTTTCCCCAATAGACTATTTTCAAATTGCAAATGCATGACTACATACCCTCTGTCTGTCATTTCTGTCACATCCATTTACCCAATTTCATTTTTGTGCAAAATAAATTTTTGTATCTCCCAACAATATTTAAACTCACAGCTATACCTCTTAACAAAAATGACAACACTAGATTTAAATAAACAGCCACCCAAAGTATCCTTATTAAGACAGCATGACATTTCACACAACTCACTTGGAGTGCTTTTGACCTTCTCCCCTGCTGTTGGTGTGCACGTGTGAAAGACAGAAATACAATTTTATATAAGGGGACTTTAAACAAAAATCAATTGATAGCCATTTAGGAAGATAGACTTACAATCACATCTCAGCCTTTATGTCGCTTCTGCATCACCTGTCATCAGGTAAATA